AATCTTGTCTCAAAAAACTTTCAAATTGGAATTGAGTTTTAAAATAGGTCTCAAATAACATAAAATTTTTAGTAACTAGTTGATTAATTTTTAACTTTGAGTCGAGTCTCTCAACTCTATATATGTATATGGTATTTGGTTATAGAAAGATGTTTAAACTGTAATCATTTAGTACTATAACATTATATATATTTACAACTAAATTTAAACAAAAACTTGAACAACTTGACTAAATTTTTTAAAAATAAAATTTGAGTTATAAAATATGATTCATCAAATTGAATTAACTCAATCTTCTTTAATTCGATCCGATCAAATACTCACCCTAAAAAAAAGCCTTCAAAGGTTGAATGTAGTCCTTTGCTTGTTATACATCATAGTTAGGGTATTTACCGTAGACAGGATTGTTGATCGGTGAATAGGATGTATTGGACAAAGGATGTTTCTGTTGTGTACAACTAAAATAATTAGATACTTTTTTTCCTTTCACTGTCTTAATTGAGTTCTGGTTGGATTAAGATAAGAGGAAGTTTTTAACGATATCCGTATTTTAAAAAAAAACATTAATTTCCAAACGATGAATGGTGAACTATCAATCAATTCGATACCAAAATACAAGATATTAAGATTCGAACTTTGGATAAAAGTATATGATTGCATGAATCCATCAAAAGCTCGATTTGATTTAGAAAAAGGAAATGGAATCCATCAAAGACTAAATATGCGTGATGCCCCACTACCACCATTTTTTATACTGCACGGAAAGTTTCGGTGTGACGCCTGACTGATAGAAAGCAGTGGCGTCTGATTACAAGCAAAAGTTGAGGGATTAGCATAAAGATCGGAAAGCGACTGTATATGAAAATCGATGACGGAATGAAAGATGCAGCTGGTAACGATCACGAACAGACACAAAGTCTTGCGTGATGTAACAATGGGTAAATTCGTTAGGTATGTTTGTTTCTGTGATGAGTGGGGAATTTTGGCCCCCAATATTGCCGGTTCTTAGCGCATCTATTCAGGAGAAAACATTGGGTTTATTTATGCCCCCATCATGTCTTTTCCTTTTGGGTATCGATGTATGAAGTGAATAGTTTCCTACTCAAATAAATCAAGCGTTATTAGCAAGTCTCTTCCCTTTTCTTTTCCCTTCACAAATAAAGCGATATTTTATATAAAAATGATGAATAATTTTTGTGTGTGCTTTTCATATTTTTTTTTCAAAGTTGAATTTGAATTTGATGTCATCTTTTCAATCGAAATTTATTTGATTATCTTATTGATTCATTCATGTTTTAGACCTTAGACTGATTCGGTATTCTTTTATTGATATAGCTCAAAACCATTAAAGATGGGTCGTGATTCAGTTGTGATAAAATTAACTTATAAACACATTGTTATTATTATATATATTTGTATGTTAGTGTTAACGATGTCTATTTTCCACCGTCGATAAGAGTATTTGTTTATATTTGTTATTTTTTGGGGTTTTAATCATTTCTTATATAAACGTATATTTATTTTCAGTCATCATATGTAAGCGTATTTGTAGAGTATTCTTATAATTTTATTGTAGTTACTATTTACTCAATAAAAGTTGCATCTACTAATTATTATTACTAGAATGGTACAATATCTTCGCCTAAAAAATCAAAACTATCCAAATATAATATTGTACTGTGAGTTTACACCATATTATTAATCATAATAATTTCATTTTACAAAAGATATTTTGAATTTCAAACCTACACAATCATTTAAATCTTCAACTTTTAATATTTTATGTCTTTTATTGTTATTAATTCAAAATGTTATGACTATTTTTTTAAAAAAAATAAAGTGCTAACTAAATTTAATTAAAATTAAAATTTTAATATACCCTATGAGCCACATATGCTAATTTTGTGTATAATAAAAGAAAAGAAAAACTAAATTTTTAACTTTTTTATGAAAATTATTATTTTTTGCATGTGTTTACATAATCTTAGACATTTTAAATCAAGAAATCCAATCATACTTCATATTAAAAACAATAATTTTTTATCACTATTCTTTAGCCTTTGATTTTATTGGATCTTAAAATTAACATTGGGCTTTAATTTATATATTGGATCTTTAGTAGCATATAGGCTTCTTTTTGCTCAATGAGTTAAACATTTTGGATTGGATCAACCCTTCTCAAAATAAATAGAATATTAATACGAATTTAAAACTAAAATAATTTTCCTAATTTAATTTTTTGAATTAGATCAGCTCATTAACTAATCTCAAAGATAAAAGAAAGTGTTGTTCTACCTTAAGGTTTCAGACTCGAACAACTATGCCGATTGGGTATGTGTTCTTTGTGAATGACTAAGAAAAATTATGAGCATATACTTTATTATAATCACTTCATATTATTAAAAAAATAAATTTTAAAAATTATATATTATCTATGGAATCTTGTAACCACCCCCAACGTGTCTCATTAATAAATAATCGATTAATATTTAAAGTTTAATTTGAACACCAATACTTTTTTCAATAGCGAGTGATTACAACTTTACAAGATAGTATTTATTCAAGATTTTTTTTTATCAATTGACAACACACACATCTTACAGTAACTACTCGAACTTGAAACTTTTAAAAAGAATAATAATTTTTTTAATCGCTATGATCACTTTGATGATTTATGAACGCCAATAATTAATGGATATGCATTTTATAAAAAAAATGTCCATTACACGTGCTCTAGGTGGTAATGAGCACCAACTATATATATATTTTTGAATAATCTAAGGTGATTACAACGTAGTTTCTGTTTAGAACTTTTTAACCTACTGACAATACATACACACCTTATATATATTATTGCTCGAATTTAAAACATATTAAGAGATCAACATTTCCTTTTACCACTTAGGTCACTTGACGTGTTCGATCACCAATTAGGCATGCAAATGGTAGAACCCATTGTTCCTCATCGTGCTTTTAAAAAACTGGCCACTTCTGCCTATGGAAGTTGGGCAGTAAACCCCAAGATTTGTCTCATTAAGCATTAGAAAAATATACAAATGGGCAGCTAGGGAAAGACCGAGTTATAGGATCATGCGCAAAGCAACCGCACACGGACTGGCCGACTCACTCACTCACTCACTTCTCTTCTTGGTTTCTGCTGAAAGCAACAAATGCAATGTTTAAATCAATGTTATTGCCGTGTTTATGTCTAATATTTTAATGGAGAAACTCAGTCACTCCCTTCTCTTCATAAATTTTCCCTTACTTCTTTTTAACTCTTTTCCTTGGATCTTCCATTAGCCTGTCTTTTTTGGGTGAATATATATTTTAGTATTTCAATTTTATATCTGAGTTCTCTTTTATCCAATTAACTATTTGAATTTAACTTAATAGTTCAATTTAGTTTTAAATTCATTTTTGGTCCAATTAGGTTACCGAATTCGATTTTGTAATTCAAATTGATATATTAATTTGACTTCATGGTTCAAATAAGTCATTTAGTGACTACTGTGTAAGTATCAATTTGGACTAAAAAATCAAGTTCATATAGTAACTTGAACTATTACGTCAATTTCAAATATCTAATTGGAGAAAAAAATTATGTATCAAATTGAACTATTAAATTCATTTTTTGTCCAATCAAGTACTTGAAGTTTATTTTTGGTTCAAATTGGTACATGAACTTGACTTTATGGTTCAAATTAGTTCAAATAAGTCATTTACCTCTATTTAATTACTATTATTTGTTTTGTCTTTATACTTATTTAGGCATTGGCTGCCATTTATGGGACCCAAGTTGTAATTTATTATTTTCAAGGGACTCCCATTACCGAAAGGCTTGCCATGCCTAAAAAGGGGTCAGGGGACTACTTTGTTCTTCCAAATATTCAATTAATAAAATAATGTCCTTTTCTTTTTCCCAATATAACTAATATTGTTCCCAAAACAAAATAGTACTATTTAGCACTGTGACACCATCAACTTAAGGTTAATCCGTTTCATGTTACCAAGTTTAGAATATCAGGCCAAAAGATAAATGACAACTTGCTTTTACCTGATAACAATGAGCACTTCCCACAAAACTCCAGGCGGTGGCCGGTGGGTGATCTCAACTACTCGCAGCACCGCACTTCGACTTCGTTTCCATCTTCGTCCCCTCAATTGTAAGTCCAGCCCGTGGTTAAGATCGAAATGATATGCAGAGAGTTTTCGGATAACGGCTGCAAATGGTTGAATCAAAATTACATATATCAACCGAGTGTATTTCTTTTTTTCAGGTGTAGCTTTCTAGTTTCTACGTGCGGACCATGCATACGGATAATAGCTTAACGGAACATATGGTGGTCACTGGTCAGGCAATGGAATGGGATAAAAGGAAAATGAAGGCAATTATGAGTTGATGATAGCAACTACTATCTTAATCAAAGCTGTTGCACAATTTAATTGCTTTTCCCCGTTTCCAGGTGTCCGAAGACGAAAGTTGGTGAATTCATTTAGTAATTCTAATGGTAAAATAAACTATTGTTTTTTTAAAAAATTTAGATTCAAGTATTTACGTCTTCAACAATTTAATAACCTGAATTGACATTCCAAAAGTTTATGTGTGCAGTTAGTTAAAGCTTAGGCCATGATGACGAGAGAAACAAGTGGGAGTAAGGAATTCTCCTTCTTAAAATAGATAACAGAGCATTAGGACCATTGCCCTGCTGTTCCAAGAATCCAGGGCAAGCTAGGTGTAGGTTTTTGTTTTTCTTTTATCCCAACTAGCCCTGTTCTTCACGTGTTGCCACATTAGATTAGGTTTAGATGGAGTGTAGGGTAAATTGACCAAAACTAAAAGGTATGAAGGACCTAATTGACTTGTAATATGGTTTCCAAGGACCAAATTGGCCTTTTGAATTGTTTTTCCTCTTCCAAATCCCCACCTGTCATTCCATTAAAAAAACATACTCTGTAATTCTAGCACGGAAACAGAAAACACAACAAAAACTTGTCCTTGCTACAAAATTTGGTCGCCCCATCTGCCAAAACATTAATTACATTTATGTGTGTATTGAAGCAAAAAGAGAGAGGTTTTGTTTTATGAAGGAAGAAAGAATAAATTAGCTGGAATAAGGCTGGATCAACAACCTACTCAAAAAACCGGTTCACGGCCTTCACGCTTGGTTCCAATACTTCCTTTTCCCAAATACTCCTCCACTCTTTCTTCTTCATTATCGCTTCAAACGTCGCCGTTCCGTCCAATCTCTTTAGCTCCCACCCGGATTCTCTGAGCCGCTGAATCTTCCATATCTGCCGCTTCGCTAATCGACACGTGCTGTGTTTGATCTCCCTCACTGCTTCTTCGTATGCGGCCCTCCGCGCCTGATTATTACACCCCTCCTTTGCTGGTGGTACGGTACCGTTTTCTTTGCTCTCCCAGGGTGGGTAACTTTTAAAATATATGCCGAATTCTGGTACTCCGATTGCTTTTCTTAACCCGACCCGGAAATCTTCTTTTGTTGGGTCGTAGAACTGAGCCAGCTCTTCCAACATGCCCGATTCGAGCATGTCGTCGACTCGTTCGCACAGGCAGTCAGTGAGTACCGACCAGGCCACGTCGACCCAAAGGAAACAACAGTCGTACCTCAACAAATGACTCACTGAGTCCGGCGCGGCGAATACGTCGTCCACTCGAGGGTCGAAGGTTTCCACAAGGAGAGCATGGATGAAAGAGTTGGACCCGCCGACGAGGAGCGGCAAGTTTCCACTTGAAGCGATGTTGGCAATGGTTAAACCCGCCTCCGAACGGAACTGCGACGGCGAAACGTCGGCGTCAATGGATTCGACGTCGCCGAGCAGATGGTGGGGGACCCCGTTCCTTTCGTGGAGAGGGATTTTGTTGGTGGTTATGTCCAGGCCGTTGTAGCGTTGCATTTTGTCGGAGTTTATGATTTCAGAGTGAGGGAAATGGGTGGACAAGTCGATGGAGAGACGACTCTTACCGGTGCCGGTGGTGCCCATGATGACGATAAGTTTTATCTTGTTCTGACTGGAGCTGCGATGGTGAGGTGGTGAAGACTCCATGCGAGCCCACCGTGGACGGCGGTTCAGGGGAAGAAGAGGGTGAAAGAGCGGAGAATGAAGAGAGTGGAAAGAAGAGAAAATGGGTTTCATGAGGACGAACAAGAAAACAGGTTGGTTATGATTTTTTATGAGCTGTGGAAGGACATATAATACGGAACCAAAAAAAAAAAAAAAAACCTTCTGCGTGTACCGCAAATAACACAAAAAACAGAGAAACAGAAAGAGAGAGAAAATCAAAGCAATGTTTTTTTGGCCTTTATATAAACCATCACTGCTTTTACATTCTGGGTATCATCATCTTCACTCTTCCTCCATTACTGCTCCTTCAGTTGATAAAATCATCAACTTTTTACAATCAAACAGGAAACAAAACACCAGATGAAGAAAACAATGGGAAAAAACCAGAAGAGATGATATATATATATATATTATATAAAATGAGAGATTTGAGCTGTTCAGGTGCTTAATCAATGGCCGTTTTCAAATTACTGTATAAGTTTGAGCTGGTTGTGGTTGAGATACCCAAATCTATCTCCATATTTATACTAGTTCCTCGTGCTCAGTTTTAAGAAAATAGAATTAATGTATGAGAATATGTCAAAATGACACTTTTTTGTTTAGTTAAGAATGTGATTAAGCTAATATCAAATCAAATCTCAATTGTAATCAAATAAAATGGTTTATAAAGTAAATTAAGCCAACGAGCTGCTAAAATATAGTATTATGCTTTGCCAGTATGGAGGGAAGTGAGAATTTTTAATGTGCTAATGCTTCGCTTTCAGGTGGGAACATTGTTCGGCCAACATATTTTGTGTCAAGATTTTAATAATAATAACAATGTATTAATTTTTTATCTAATATATTTAAGAGTAAATTATTAATTTCATTACTCAATTTTCTTCTCACTCCTATTTTAATCACTAAAATAAAAAAAATCAATTTATTCACTTAACTTTCGATTTATTCATATTTTGATCACTTGGGTGTTAAATCTTAAATAAAAGAGTGACATGACAACTACATGTACCGACGCGGATTGGTTTATATTGACATAGTATCCATGTATGATGTATCTTTCACGTCATTTCCCTTTTTTATTATTATTATTTTATCTTCTTCATCTAAAGATGAAAGTTTTAAGTTTCATCATTGTGCCATGTCTGTAACACCCCCAACCCGTATCCAACCCGGATCGTAGTCTGAAGTGTCACATTGACTTTTCAAAACACTTTTCTTTACAAATTGGTAAAACTTTGTTGAAAACATTTTGATGTTTCGATATAACAAATTAAGTATAATTGAATTTTAAGATTTTACAAATGATTTTCTAAAGTATATTCGATTCAATTAATCGAATATCAAATTATTACTCCAAGTCTTTCAAGATCAATTTCAAACCTTACTAAATGTGTAAAATTATGTTTTATACTCAATATATTTTTGAAACAATTTTCACAAAGTATTTTGAACCAAAATCAAGCCTAAAATCAATTTTTCAAAGGGATGCACCGATGCACCAATCCATGCATTGATGCACCAATGAATAAATTGAACATCGAATGCATTTTATGCATCGATGCACATACCATGCATCGATGCACCAGGGTTTTATGAAAACATCGAATGCCTTTGATGCATCGATGCACAAGCCATGCTGTTAACTTCCTAAAAAGGCTACTTTTAAAGCCTTTTTCACTTAAGTTATTGTTTGTTTAAAAGCTCATTTTAGTCATTTTAGGATCATATAGTTGCATATAGTTGCATTTGTGGTGGTTGTGCTATTTTATTTCTTAATGATGCTGTTTGAGGGAAAGGTGTAGTTTGTCTATGGTGTGCAGGGAATAGCAAGAAAAAGGATTCTTTGGGAAGTAATGCCGCGGCATCACACGTTGCTAGAGCAGATTGAAATGCCTTGGCATTTCTGGCGCAGAAAAAGACAAAAAGATATTTCTGCATCAGGACAACTGGCACTGGACAGCTATCCCTGCACGTGGAGGACTGCTGTAACCGCCTGCCAGAGCTACCAATGGACCACTGCCACTTGGAGGATAAGATTCATGCACAAAATGTGATTCTAGGGGTATGAGGGGTATTTTGCACCCAACAAACTCATCATTACCCCTAGATATTTTATTTATTATATATGACACCTCATGGGAGAGGGAGAAAAGAGGACGAAGAGCACACGTATAGAGTAGAAAAATCATATTTTTATTTTTTTTCCTTTCTTCTTCCTTGGGAATATTCCTCCATTGATTAAGCTCCAAGGAGTGGCAAGCTAGGCGCCGAAAGGAGCTAGTGAGCTAGGTGGTTCGTGGTGGCCGAGAGGAGACCTCCGGTGGCGTGTCGAAGGCTTCTTCTCACTTCCCTTTTTGCTGCTATTTTTTTATATATATTATTTTGTGGGTTGTTGGAACGAATTTTCATGACTTTGTGTTTTGATATTTCGAACCCCACCATGAACTAACTTATTTGGTGGTGGTTGGTTGAATGGTTATTTGAACTTTATTTCCAATAGTATATTTAAGTTTATTTTGGTTCTTTATTTGCTTTGCTTATGAATGCTTCACCATCTAGGCTTGTAAGAGGCATGGAAATGTCCATCTCTTAGATGAAGGTTAGGTATTCGGAAGAATCCTAAACTAAAAATACTTGTAAGTATTCGGAAGAAACGCAAGATAAGATCCTCATAAGCAATGGGTTATGGTATTTTCAAGGGGCTTTGAACCGGCCTAGGAATATTATAACTTAATCCCTTAGATCTCGGAAGAGACTAGGATAGGATTTCAACGACTAAAAAGGGTGTCTTTATCAATAGGGTAGGCTGTCCAACATCGTTGAGTGAGAGCAGATGCCTTGGCATCCTATTCTGTTAGGTTCTTTTGAAAACTTTAGGAAAGCCCTGTCGAGTAAGTAAAGACCAGTTAGCTTAAATATACTTGAGAAATAAGTTTAGCAACCTTAGACCAATCCCTACCATTCATTTCATTGGAAGCTTGTCACGTGAGGATTATTTTCTTCTTATTTTATTTATCTTTTTATTTACTGTCTTTACTTTTTCTCATTACCTTGATATTTCACCATACTCAACATTAAACATCCATCATTGCCACTGCATTTTCATTTGCTACACCATCACACCATCAATCCGCATCCACCAGCATACACATATCTATTGCCGTGACATTTGTATATATCAAGACTAACTATACTTAGATAATTTAGTGCGTTGCTTTGGTTAGACTTTCGTAATTTCACCCAATCCCTGTGGAGACGATACTCATTCTTCATTATATTACCTGAGCGATTGTGTATACTTGCACATTATTTGCGTATATTTTATAGTACTCACAACACGCAACACATGCATCGATGCACTCAGGCTATTTTGAAACATTGAATGCACTTCATGCATTGATGCACTCTTAGTGCACCGATGCACTCTTAGTGAACCGATGCACTAAGTGTTCCAACGGTCAAAATATTTGAATTTTACACTTGATGCACCGATGCACCTTGTGTATGTATCGATGCACTGACGCTCCCAACTGTTTTATTAATTGTTTTCACACTTAAACGGCTCTATTGACTCCACTAATCATCCCCAACGTTCAGAATCAATTGAAGGAGTATTTAAACAAGCTTAGAAGCCATTGATCAATAAGGAAAAACAAGAAGAAACAACAAGAAACAAGAGTTAAGAGAGAATCAAAGAAAAAACATCAAACTCATTGTTTGAGCTTTTCAAGCCTATTTTTCATTCAATATTCATTTTGCTTTCAAGAACACTACTTGTACTCAATTGTATTCATTCTTGAGTGTTCTTTCTTTGTTCTAGAATTGTATAAACACATTTGCCTTGTGAGGATTTTCATTAAGTTTGCGAATTTGTAATATTCTCTTTGAGAAAGAGTGTTCTCAAGAATTGGGGTATATTCTTGAGGAAGTTGTAAGGTTATCTCTTTGGCCTCAAAAGAAAAAAACAAATTAGTGAATTTGTTGGAAAATCCTTAGTGTGGATAGCTAAGGTAGTAGACATAGACTTTGGTTGAGAAAGTCGAACCACTCTAAATCGTTGTGCAAATATTTTCAATTTTCTGCAAAAGCTTCAAGCAAAATTTTAATTGCCAATTCACTCCCCTCTTGGCCATATTCGTCGATCGATTAACTCAACAATTGGTATCAGAGCTTGAATCATTTGAATGTTTAACCACCTCTTGAGTAGATCCGAGAAGAGTTAAATCGATAAAGATGGAGTCCACTTTCGGTTCATTCTCTATGGAAGAATCCAGACTAATTGACGCGCCTCCACACTTCAATGGAACAAATTATCGTCGTTGGAAGAAGCTTATGATGATATTTATCCAAGCATTTGATATGGAAGCTTGGATGATGATCGAGAAAGTATATTCTTTTCCTACAAAGAAGGCAAAGAAGTGGAGTGATCAAGAACGGAAGAAAGCTCAACAAAATACAAAGGCTATGCACATGTTGTGTTGTGCAATTGATCCTAATGTATATAAAGGAGTTTCTTCTTGTCAAATGCCAAGGAGATGTGGGATAAGCTTGAGGAGATATATAGAGACAAGGAAGAAGAAGAACCAATAAATGTGATGTCTCTATTAGCTCTCACAGAGCCAAATGTATCTTCTAGCTCAAATAGATTAAATTTAAAATCTTTTAATGAGTTACAAGATGCCTATGATGAATTATTTTCGGAGTTTGAGACCATGAACTCCAAATGCAATAAATTGATTTCTAAATTTATTGCTAAAAATGATATTCTTTTGAAAGCTAAAAGAGACTTGGAAAATCAAAATGAAATGTTGAGAAAGGAGTTAGAGCTTTCAAAAATAAAATCTTAAAACTTTGAAAAAGAAATTTTCAAATTAAAAAAACTTCTTCTAGAAACGAAAATAGATTTTGAAAATCAAAATGAAATCTTGAAGAAGGATTTAGACCTTTCAAAAATGAAATTTGAAAGTATTGAAAAAGAAAATTTTGATTTGAAAGTTAAGCTTGAATGTTTAACAAAAGAAAAAGATATCATTTTAAATAATTCATCTAGTTCAATAATGACAATATGTTCACATTGTCATTATCATGGTCATAAGGAACATACTTGTCCTTTAAAGAAAGG